CTGTCTTCGTTGGCAGTTCCGTACTTGGTGCTTCCAAGTTTTTTGTTTCAAACTCAGTTTGTCTATTTCTCTGATTCTGCACCGCCGCTAATGCCAATTTATGTTTGGGGTGACTCTGGTTCTTGACTGCCTCCCAAAACAGAGGACAGTCCATCCTGAAGTGCCCCTCCTGATTGCAGAAGAAGCATCTTGCACCTATTTTGATGATTAAGCCACTATAGTACTCGTGTTCTTCATCTGGCTCATATCTTCCTCATCTGGTGCATATCCCAGACTCTTCATGCCCTGCTTGTATGTTGTGCAATCCGCCACGTAATGATCAGCTGACCCGCAGTTAGCGCATGATCTACGTTTGTCCATGTCATCTCTAGGCTTGTACCATGACGACCTTTTTTGGTTGACATTCCCCTTGCATGTTCCTGTTATCCGAATATGTGTATTTCTTGGGCTTCATTAGCATGTACTCCCTTGACTTGTGTCTCATCTCTTCTGGAGTCGGTGCATTGTCTTTTGACAATGTATAGTACGTTGCTAACAAGTTTGTTCTCAAGTCATCACTTTTTACCCCATCAATGAACTTTGAGGCGATGCTAAAGTTTCTTCTGTTCGTTGAATCTTCAGGATCGCTTCTTCGTCTCAAGCTTTCGAGATCATCTAGGAACCGATCAATCGATTCATCGTCCCTTTGCCTTCTCTTTTCAAATCGCATCATCGCTTGATGACCCTTCATGCCTGACCCGAATCAATTCAACAATATCTCGAAGATTTTATCCGCAGTGTCGCGTTCCTCTTCCTTCTTCGCAGCCACGCATTTCAACGCCGTGCCTTCTAAGTTGCTGAGTATCGCTGTGCATGCTTGTCTCTCATCGTTCAAGTTGTCTTGTTCCAAGTGTAATCTCATGACTTCTAACCAAGTATCAATGCACCCGTCTGAATCATCCTTGAATTCTTTCCGTTTTTTGAAAGTTTTCCTGGATTTGTTACCTCCTCTGTCACTCGAGTCGGTGTTCCCCGTGGCGAAGGCTTCCAATGTCCTGTTCATCATTTCCCAGGTGCTTGCCCACGTCATAGCATCCGGACCCACGTTAATGTGAGTCGTGGAATCCCCTGGACCACTCGTCTTTTTTGCTGTTCCATTCTTCATAATTGCTTTGCCCCCCCCCGCTGCTGTGCTCGCGGCATCCCGGGGTAATGGTAACGGTGTTGATTGCAGTTTGTTCCGTTGTGGTTCCACGAAATCAACTCTGTTGCCTTGCGTTCGATCCGCTGCGGGCCTGTCCTGTGACGTAGAGTTTCTCAAGATGGCGTTTAGTTTTTCCTGTATTGCACATGAACTCTCAGCCTGGTCCCTACTCATTGTGTCCATTCTCGTTTCCAGACTCCTCAACTGGCTGTTCACTGCGTCATACCGTTGCTTCATCTCTTGCATGTCTCTTTTGATGTTCTTGCCTCGCTCTCCATCAGTGGCATCTACTTTGTCTGACATCTGTTGAAGCTTTTCCTCTGTCACTTTCGCCAGGTTGAAATAGTTGTCCAGGTACTCGTGTTTGTTGTACCTTAATTCTTTCTTTATCACCTCTCTATCCTCCTCGCTGTGCTTTAGTCTCTCGTCGATCTGATCTAGCTTCGCCATCAGATCGCCCAGCTCGAGAGAAGTTGTTGTTTCATGGTCAGCTGTTGCCCTGTTGTTGGCTGCTGCTCCCAGTTTGACCTGGTCTTCGTCTTGGTCGGTCTCTGTCGTTTTTGTGGAAACTGTTCCGAATGTTTTGCCTTTCTCGGTTTTCGGTTCCTCCGTCACTATGTCTCTTGATTTCATCCCGACCATCATTGCCAACCTTTCAGTAAATGACGTTCTTTTTCCTTGAGACTCTTCCCTTACCGTTTCTGGCGTGTTGTCCGTTGTGTCCTCCACAGTGTCTATCGGCGAGAACTCTATCGACTTTTGATTTGGTTCCTTTGCATTCGGCATCGGTGTCGACTCCGTCGTCTTCTTCTCCACCTCATCCACACTCTGGTCTGGTGTTTCTAGGTCAGTCTCATTGGCGGGTTCCGCTTGTTTCCCTTCCGCGCCCTCTTTTGTCTTGTTCTCTCTAGTACTCCTTGTGTTGACCATGCTAACTGAAAAGTTCTTCTTTGTTCTTCTTGGGCCAACCGATGTCATTTTTCGTAGCGACGAGTTATATTTTGTCTTTGATTCTGTACCTCTTTTTGATTCGATGCTAAATTTGGATATCCGCTTCTGATAACCGACGCGTGTAAGAATCTAATGTAACTAAATCGACGATGCCGATCAATTAGTTACTCTAATGAGTCCCCCCTTTTTACACTTTACAACCACCAACCTCTAACCTAACCAGCCCCCCTTCTAACCTCCCCCCTCTTTAGCCCTCTTTTAAGCCGAAAATTCCCTTAAGCGCCGGGTGCTAAACCTCTCGAGAGAAAACCGTAGACCTGTTTCCAGGCCTGCTTGAGTAAAACCTTCCTCAAAACAATGGGGTTCCGCTCATCCAATTTTACACTTATTTCCTATAATAAAATGTGGATTTTAAGGATACCCGTTTGTCCAACTTGAGAACACCCCTGTGCGTCCTCCTCTTGTTATACCGGTCCCGTGCTGGTTTTGCCCCTTGACGTGCACTGCACTTGACACCAGCACCACCTTCCCACTTGCCTGGTTACCTCTTCCAGTCAAGTCTCCTAGCGGTTCAGCTCAATCCTTGTGAACCACTTTCCCACTCGGCTGGTCACCTCTTCCAGTCAAGTCTCCTAGTGGTTCAGCTCAATCCTTGTGAACCACTTTCCCATTCGGCTGGTCACCTCTTCCAGTCAAGTCTCCTAGTTGCCCAGCTAAGTTGCAAGCTATCTAAAAACCCTTAACAACGCCCCCCACTTGGGCACCTTATTGAGGTTGCTGGATTAGATTGCTAGGTTGATCGAAACGATCGGTCTTATAAAGCAGTATGGGTATACTATTTAATTAATATAAAAGTTTGATCCAACTAATCTGGCGTCAAAATTACTGTCATTTTTGTTTTATGGCTTTTGTTCCTTTTTCTATTCTTTTTTCTTGTTTTTGTTTCGCTTTTTGTCTTTTTGCTCGTGTTTTTGTCCCCCTAGTTAACCCCCTTACTCGGTTAGCTAAGCCTTGTTCGGAGAGCGTATCAGGAAGTTTTCTCGAGTTTTCTTAAAAAGCTATCACGGTACAACCGGAAGGTTTGCACGTTCCCCCTGAACCGTTTCACCGGTACTCTAGAATGGGCATGTAGCCCGGAGCTGCGTCAAGTGGGTTCGACTCCGTAGTCATGATGTCGTAAAAACACCCAGGAGCACCATAAAAACACCATGTAACAGTCGCCTACTTCGGTCACATATGAGGCTTAAGAAAAATAGGCCCTATAACCATTGGCTCAGGAGTCAGGGACACTATCTCTTGTGTTTTTCTACCTCAAAACGGTCGGAGCCAATTCGGTTCACTTGCGACATGCGACTAAAACCCGTTACAGCTTCAAGGCCACTACCAAAATACCCCCACTCTAGAAATTAAGAAAACAAGATACTTAGGTCTCAAAATACCCAAAATACACAAACGCCGTTAAAAACAGGGTCGGAACAATCCGTTAAGTTACTTTTTATTGGACAATGGAACTTTGATCCGTTTCAGATGGATCATTCTAAAACTCGCCTTACCTCAACATACTTATCATAAAACACACTCGGGAAAATTAAATTAGGTACTCACATAGCAGCACACTTGAGAATCAGAGTAATTAAGCTATTTGTAACTCTAGCATAAATACGATTGAATATAACTCCAGAAGTTTTCTATCAATGAATTCCAATCAAAGGAAATGAGTTTTAACTTGAGAATATAGTTTTGGGTCTGAACCACTGGGAGACTTCAGTTGTCTACCTTTCCACTGAAGGTTCACTCTGGTTCAGCTGAATTTCGATTTTTTTTCGTAATCCCTCTGTCTCCTATATCAAGATAGGACAGCTCTACTCTCGTGTTTTTTTACTATAATCTCGGAAATTGCGAATAGCATTTTCCCGCTGTTTTTTCTGTCACTTTCCCGCAATTGCGATTCGGTCGTTCTGATTTTATTTTTGATGTTTTCAGTTGTCGCGAGAAAGTTGAGCATGACAGGCTCCATTCGAATTTTTGAAAAATTGAACTTCATCCCAAAACCACGTATTTCGTATTCCTCAAGGTCAAACTTCCAGATATGACTGACTGGCACAATTCGAAATTGCGGGATCTGCATTTTTGTCCATTCTGGTCGAATGTCACAGAGTCCGGACGAAGAGCTGTCTTGTCTCTTTCAGGAAGGCTGGTCACTTCGTTCCAACACCCTTCCTGGTACTCAGGAATCTCCTTGTAACGATTGTAGCGGCACAATCGTTACAACTCGGAATGGTCGTAAATCACTATATTTTCTCAGCTCGTCATTTTTTTTCGTCCGACTCTTCTGTCTCAGAATATTGCTGTTCTGTCTTTTCGCAGTTTTAAATTGTCGCGAAAAATAAAATCGTTACGTGTCTTTCACGCCCAAATCGAAAATTTAAAAATTAGCATGTCAGGCCAAGTTAACCATTCCTGAGTGGTTTAAGCACCACTAATTCGTTAAAATCGTTAATCTTCTCAGTCAGATGCTAGAATAAAAATTCGAATTCGAACTGCATTTTGATACATTCTGGTCGAATGTCACAAGATATGACCGGTTCCGTAAAAAACGAACCTAAATTTTAGTGTATTTTAAAACATCTGATTTTTTTAAATGGCAAACGGCTATCTGCATTTCACGGCTATTTTACGGTTGCATTGTATTTCATTTGTATTTTATATTTACGGAAACAAATTTCACGTTTAACAAGCTGTTTTTCGCTAGTTTAGTTAAATCGTATTTTTTTTTGTTTTAATGACAATATTTTGCATTTCAGAATGAACCTGTTTTACGTCATTTATTTGAGTCTGGCATTAACTATTGTATTTTGCAAAGACTATGAATTCACTTTCGAGGTACCAGACAATAAAGAGCAGTGCTTTTATGAAGACATAGACCTAAACCAGGAAGTCGAAGTCGAGTTCCAGGTCCTTGTTGGTGGAAAAAACGATATAGACATGGTTATTCACGGTCCTGGACAGACACTCATTCAAACATATAGAAGGAAGCAACAGGAAACCTACAAATTTAAAACAGTTGATCGAGGGCAATACGTATTCTGCTTCAACAATGAGTTTTCATCCTTCACCCACAAAGTCGTCTATTTCTACTTAGGAATTGGCGAAGAAGAGTCGTTAACGGAAGAAATGTCCGTCAAAGCAACTGCCTTGACACAAGTAATGCTTAAATTGTTAAAACGAAGAAAACAGAGTTGTTTTTCAACGCGGATGGGATGGGGCGGATTCTCAAAAACTTTTTTTGAAAGGTTTTTTGAGCTTTCCTAAATTTTTTTAAAGACCCCTGTTTGAGCAAATTGTCTGCGCCGCAAGCAAATTTTTGAAAAAACAGGCCAAAAAAGGCGTTTTATGTCTACCAAAAAATTGCGTTTTCGGCACGCGCTCACACCTCAAAAACTTATTGTAGTGGCGCGAAAGGCACCTTTAGAAAATTTAAAGGTCAGTCAGGGCGTCTATCCCGCTAAATCTGCCCCTGACTATGAGTTTGTATCAGATACTGATTGACGCGCTCTTTGGAACTGTAACAGAGCCTTTAGTTTTAAGCTCTTTCTGTTCAAAACGCCATTTCACAAGTTAATTAGGCTCGCGATTAGCAAGCGTTTTCAAACCGGAACATTGACTTTTCGGGTTAACAGAATCATTTGTATCTTGGTTCTCAATTAATTCAAAGTTCCATGCCTTTCCGGCCAAATTAATGTGGAGGTAACGAATATGCCTGGGACAGCCAACTGCCTGGGTTCGAATATTATTAGGTTCTTTTTCTTTCTTAAACGGGAAATATTCTGTTTCAAATAAAATTGTCGGCCGATTATTTGTCTGCTTATCTTTTGTCGGCTTAGTTGTCTTATCTTGGAATCGTTTTTTTTTGCTGCACACATATTTCTATAACCTTGCTGTTAATGATGGATTGACTCGTACAATTTCATATTTGTAGCCTTGAGTTCGTATTTCCTTTGTTTTTTTGTCATGCTAAAAATTGATCTGCCCAAATTATTTCGGCCTATTTTTTATCGGCTCAATGACCTTATTTTGGGTGTTTCAAGGGAAACACAATTTTAAACTCCCGTCAGCCTTTTTCAAATTGGTTGTATGTTTATCAATTGGTTAGTTGATTTTTTTTCGTTATGGAAAATTATTTCCAAATGTCTCTGGAAATTTTTTAGTTTTTCTCAGAAGTTTTGACTGATTTTAAAAAGGGCTATCAATCAGGGGGTATCTTTTCTCTAAAACTAACCTCTCAAATCTGATTTTATGGTTTCAATTGAGATAACGGGTAGTGGAAGCTCCACTGCATTAGCGGCCACTCACAATGTTAATTACACTAAAAGTTATCGCTCTCGGAAATGTTTTGTTTTGAACGTTTTTAAACTTTTTGAAAATTCTCGTTAACTACATAGCCATATCTGAGATTTTGGGTTCAATTCAAAGAACGGGTTGTGGGAAGCTGTTGTTGTTGATGTTATTGCTCCGTGGACTGTTCGGAGAATATCTCCGCGAGTTCTTCTACGACTAGTAGGGGATTTTTCCACAAATGTTCAATGGTGGCAGATAAAGGGTTGGCCGGGCAGTTGAACAGATGTTGGCAGTCTTCAATGCTGGAGTTGCATTTGCTGCAGAGCTCTGATTTAAGGTCCGGTTGTAGTCTTTGTCTGGTTTGGCTAGTTTCCATGAGAAACCTGATCTAAGCTGTCGTAGCGGCTGAGTTCTTCTTCATCTTTCGAAATCCCAGGAAGGGGTCTTTTCAAAACTCCGTTGTGCTGGCTTTTGGCTCTCTCTTCGGCAACTGCATGTGTGTGTAGATGTTTCAGTTTCTGTTCAAGATCGTCTGTAAGGAAACTAGCGACTTCCTCACTTTAACTGGCATGCAATTTGGCTGTCCGTAAAGCAGTGTTCTGAATCATTTGAAGTTTCTGTTGGTTGGTTTTACTGATTATTGGTGTCCAGGCAGGCTAGGCGTAGTCAATACACGATCTTCCGATGGCACGATAGGTTATCAGTTGTGTTTCTTTATCTTGCCCCCAGTCAAGTCCAGAAAGCGCGGAGTGCGTTGTTTCTTGCTGCTTCTTTCTTGCAGACGTTGGCTGTGTGTTGTCCGAAGATCAGTATGGTGTCGTACGTCACTCCCAGTAGTTTTGGCGTCCTTTCAAGCTTCAGCTCATTTTGTGGGAAGCTCATTTGCATATGCGACTACGCCCAAATATTTTGTTTTTCTGACGATTTGTGTTTGAAAGCTTTTGACTTTTCTCGAGAACTACCCTCTCAAATCTGATGTTTTGGGTTAAATTGAAATCACAGGTTGCGTGAATCTCTGCATAATTGGTTACGCCTTTTTTTTTTTAAAATATTTGACTCTAAGGAAAAACTACCGTGCCAACTCTCAGATTTATTGTTCAATTGAGAAACCCCGTTTTTGGGATTTTTTTTTCTGCCTAAGAGGCCACAACCTGCTGGCTGCAGTTAAAACTTATGGATTTAAGAAAGTTTTTGCACCGTTTTTTTAAAACTTCTTAAATTTCAGCCCCGAATCTGTAGTAGTTACAGAGAAATCAACAAAAAAGGCGAGGAAAAGGTTTCTTAACTTCATCGGTTGAAAAGCAAGAGTTTCTTTTTCTGTGTCCTGTGACTGTACATATGTACTGTAGGCCTAGTAACCGTTCAAATTGTTTTTTTTTCAATTTTGATGTAATTCTTGCATTAATTTTTTTCTTGACATGATTTCCTCAAAAGGCACTTTCATAAGAGACACATTGAGATAAATCGTTCAATATTATGGCTAGAACGAGTTTTTGAAACCAATTTGTCAACATAGTGGCTTTCGTCTCTAGCTTTTGTGACGGCTTTTGAGGGATAGTTTGCCATGCTACTTGTATCGCTAGGGGGCGAGCTCTTTACCTATGTTTAAATGCGTTCATTTTTAGATTGAGTCCTCCTGTGTGTCGATACATGAGTCCATGAATGCAGCCAAGGATTATCAGACAGACTATCGACTAAGGGAGTATAGAGGACGCACTTTGGCCGAAATGCTGAATGAGCGAGTGCAAGTCTGGTCCGTTGGTAAGTCGTGTGAAATGTGATGTTTGTTGTAATAGGTATAGGAAATACACGGTTGATCTATATAAAATATTGAGTACTGCAAATACTCCGTCGCCAATAAAAATTGTAGATTTGTCAATAATTTCTACCCTGCTCTGATCTCTGTCTAATTATTTTTTTTACTTTTAAATAATTTCATTTTATGCCCGTCAATTGGGAACGCTTGGAGGATCTGTTGATCTCGCTGCTTGTCCTTTCCGATTTTTTTCTTTTCCTTGTTCTTCAACACTTTTTACACTAGCTATCAGCGTAGTGTATTATTACGACCCTTTTTTTTCAACCTAACTGGCAAATAAAATTGTTCATTAAAAGTGTTCATTTATTTTGAAATTTCACCCAAGCATTAGAAATTGTTCAGCATCTGTTCTCTATTTTTGGCTAGTGTTGGGTACCTATTAAGCGTCTTTGGCCGGGTGGTTGGTGTGTGAGACTGTTAATCGCTAAGTCGCAGGCTCAAATCTCAGACATAGCCGAGTTTATACTAATTCGAGGCTTATTTCTAATTTTTCTTATTGCATTTTAAAGAGCTGCTTTTTGCCGTGTCCTCGCTATTTTTGGCGAAGCGAAGCTTCGCCTCTGCGTTATAGTTGCCACAGATTGTGTATAACCATCAATTTACTTGTTTTTTTTTAAAATCGAAAACGCGACAAATGTTTTTTTTTTCAGGAAAAGTCTAAAAATTTGTTCAGGCTCAAATTCACTTTTTCGCGGTTTGAGTTTTGATTTTAACAATCTTAGTGAATTAATGTGTTGTTTAGGTGAATGTATAGCTCTAGTGGTGCTATCTCTAATGCAAGTGCTGATCGTCCGATCATTCTTCAGAGGGAAACCAAACCGAGCACCTCCTAGATTCTAAGCACCACCGCCAAGCAACTTCCTTAGACCAGGACACCCAAACGGAACTAAACAACAATTAACGAAAGTCATGTCTCCTGAAAATCACCGCGAAGCCAACTCGATTGAAACAACAAAGACAAAATGCAAAAAAAATAGATAATCAATTAGCTTCGGTGTTGAGGTAGCTTCACCTCAAAATTAAGCTACATTTCAAACGGGCAACAATGATGCGCACGTGCTTTTATTGTTTATCTGGGAGTTCAGTCAGATAAATCTTCGATCATCAATAGATCAATTATATAAATTACTATCAAGCAGACAAACGCAAGACAAAATTTTCTTGAAAAAAGTAACCTGCTCGCTACATGAAAGTTTCTTTCAATCAACTTTTTTGTCGGATTGGGATTAAGTTTGTCTGCTTGAAAACTGCAGTTTTTTTCCAATTTCATTCGGTTTCAACATCTCATCTTGAAGCGTATTTCCATTTAGTATTGTTTACTTAATTATTTCCTCATTTCGTTTTCCGCTAGCTCTTTATACTTCGTGTTAATAGGGGCTTACTGCAATACAATGTTGTCGTTGCTTTATCAATGAAACTTTTATATGTACAAATATACAGCTAAAATTTCAAATTATTGTATAAAATGCGCTAAATATTAATGGTTTTCTGAAATCGAATTGATGTTAAACGAAGGTATTTCTTTAATTGAAGAGAAATTAGGTCGTTCGTTGTGCTGATTACACATGCGAGTTTTGTTTGTTCAGTCAGCTTTTTTCCTATCTAAATATCACTTGACGAGTTTTTAAGAGTCGCTGAAAGTAGTTCAGATTCTGACATAGGTCGCGATGTTTTTTTGGTCGTTTTTTTTCAGCGAAAGTCTTAAAGTTTGTTCAGGCTCAAATGTACTTTTTCGCGGTTTGACTTTTGATTTCTTTTTAAGCTCTGTCCCTTTACGTTGAAGGCAAACTCCACTATCGAACAGCAAAAGTTTAAAGATCAAGAAAAACGAGATCGACTACTAGTTGACTTCAGTCAAAAATTATTTATGTGTTCTGAATTCAATAATTACTCAAGTTTTCTGAATTCCCAGCAGGATAAAAAAATTACTATTGATGCCGTTTTCTCTAATTTGGATAACTTAGCGAAAGAAGTGGTTGGTTTTTCCTTTTTTTCCCTCACATAGTCAGGTACCATAAATATTCATCGGAATGGGTCTGGTTATATATCATCTTAAAGCGTTTTCAGTCTTGATTTGATTAAAAAAAGTTTCGCAGTGTTCCGAAAATACGGCTTGAAATTTTTGGTATAATTTCGAGCAATTGAATCGAGCGAGAAGGCTAGTTTTATTTAAGTTTAGTTTCGATGCTTTTTTATCATTCATTTGTCTCACTTCTTGGCGATATTTCTCTTAAGGAATTTTTATTCAATACTAAGTAGAAAACTTTTTGATAGATCAGTTTTTCGATATTTTTTCATTTAAAACAATTTTTTTCTTTCCACGGTTTTATCTTTATTTCTGTCAGTTAGTTTGTTTTGCTATGTATTTGTTGTTTTAAAAGTAGTGCGAAGCTTTGCTTCGTATTTGTGTGTACAATTTCTAAAGGTGCAGGTAATTCAGTTCGAATGTTTGAGATTTTTTTTGCAATTTTCATAATTTTTTTTATTTGTCGTTGCATCTGCAAGAAATGATAGTAATTCATATTTATATCTGAATTATAATTTTTCGCCTTTGCACTTTGAGGTGTCAATAAACATGGTGAATAGTTTCCTCTAAAGGTAGTTGTTGTTGTTTTTTTCAGGAAAACTTTATTCACACTCAAATTTGATTTTCGTGTTTAGAATAGCGAAAATGCAAATGGCGCAAAAAAGTGACCGATTTTTAGTTTTGAAGCGGATTTTTCATCCAGATTTATCAAAAGGTTTGCATCATAAAATATGTGCAATAAAATCAGTCTGATTGTTTTCTTGTTTTTTTTTTATTTCAGTTCAGTGATCCTATTTTTTGCTATGGGTTATGCGATCATTTTAAAAGTGTTTAAAGCCGAAGTTTAATCCCTTTTCTGGCCCCAAAACAGCCAAAGGTTTGAAAAATGAAGCAACTTTTTTGACAGTATCACTGGTGGTTATTCATTCGGTTTCAACATCTCATCTTGAAGCGTATTTCCATTTAGTATTGTTTACTTAATTATTTCCTCATTTCGTTTTCCGCTAGCTCTTTATACTTCGTGTTAATAGGGGCTTACTGCAATACAATGTTGTCGTTGCTTTATCAATGAAACTTTTATATGTACAAATATACAGCTAAAATTTCAAATTATTGTATAAAATGCGCTAAATATTAATGGTTTTCTGAAATCGAATTGATGTTAAACGAAGGTATTTCTTTAATTGAAGAGAAATTAGGTCGTTCGTTGTGCTGATTACACATGCGAGTTTTGTTTGTTCAGTCAGCTTTTTTCCTATCTAAATATCACTTGACGAGTTTTTAAGAGTCGCTGAAAGTAGTTCAGATTCTGACATAGGTCGCGATGTTTTTTTGGTCGTTTTTTTTCAGCGAAAGTCTTAAAGTTTGTTCAGGCTCAAATGTACTTTTTCGCGGTTTGACTTTTGATTTCTTTTTAAGCTCTGTCCCTTTACGTTGAAGGCAAACTCCACTATCGAACAGCAAAAGTTTAAAGATCAAGAAAAACGAGATCGACTACTAGTTGACTTCAGTCAAAAATTATTTATGTGTTCTGAATTCAATAATTACTCAAGTTTTCTGAATTCCCAGCAGGATAAAAAAATTACTATTGATGCCGTTTTCTCTAATTTGGATAACTTAGCGAAAGAAGTGGTTGGTTTTTCCTTTTTTTCCCTCACATAGTCAGGTACCATAAATATTCATCGGAATGGGTCTGGTTATATATCATCTTAAAGCGTTTTCAGTCTTGATTTGATTAAAAAAAGTTTCGCAGTGTTCCGAAAATACGGCTTGAAATTTTTGGTATAATTTCGAGCAATTGGATCGAGCGAGAAGGCTAGTTTTATTTAAGTTTAGTTTCGATGCTTTTTTATCATTCATTTGTCTCACTTCTTGGCGATATTTCTCTTAAGGAATTTTTATTCAATACTAAGTAGAAAACTTTTTGATAGATCAGTTTTTCGATATTTTTTCATTTAAAACAATTTTTTTCTTTCCACGGTTTTATCTTTATTTCTGTCAGTTAGTTTGTTTTGCTATGTATTTGTTGTTTTAAAAGTAGTGCGAAGCTTTGCTTCGTATTTGTGTGTACAATTTCTAAAGGTGCAGGTAATTCAGTTCGAATGTTTGAGATTTTTTTTGCAATTTTCATATTTTTTTTTATTTGTCGTTGCATCTGCAAGAAATGATAGTAATTCATATTTATATCTGAATTATAATTTTTCGCCTTTGCACTTTGAGGTGTCAATAAACACGGTGAATAGTTTCCTCTAAAGGTAGTTGTTGTTGTTTTTTTCAGGAAAACTTTATTCACACTCAAATTTGATTTTCGTGTTTAGAATAGCGAAAATGCAAATGGCGCAAAAAAGTGACCGATTTTTAGTTTTGAAGCGGATTTTTCATCCAGATTTATCAAAAGGTTTGCATCATAAAATATGTGCAATAAAATCAGTCTGATTGTTTTCTTGTTTTTTTTTTATTTCAGTTCAGTGATCCTATTTTTTGCTATGGGTTATGCGATCATTTTAAAAGTGTTTAAAGCCGAAGTTTAATCCCTTTTCTGGCCCCAAAACAGCCAAAGGTTTGAAAAATGAAGCAACTTTTTTGACAGTATCACTGGTGGTTAGTTTTGTGCTACTTGCACAGCAGCCATTTTTTCCTGATTTGCTATTGATTTCCTTGTTATGTGATTACAAAACTTTAGTCCTGGATGGTTTACTCTAGTTTTTAATACGATGTAAGACTTTCTATAGTTTAACCTATAAACAATCAAATGTTTTGCAGTGAGTTTTCGATCATAGGAAGAAATATGAATAACAAGTATTTCCGGTTGATGTGAATTGGTGCGGTTCCGACCACAATAAGTTGAGTTTAATTCGATTTTTCAAATTTGGGTATTTTTTGTGCATGTCGTAGAAGAGGGTTTAAAAGTTTTATATATATTTAAATATTTGAGTCTTGGGACTGGGAAGAGCTAAATGAAGCTTCAAAAACTATTTGAAGAACAATTTGTTCTCTTCGTGGTGGCTTTAATCTGACTGGAAAGCAAATGAATTGTTCATTCAGTTTCTTCAGAATTTTTTTGTTATTTTTGATATCGATCGAATCAGGACTGAAAGGGATTTAGTAGGACATATCAATCGATTATATCTGGTGTTAATTTGTAGTCCTTTATTTTGCGCGCAAAAAGTTAAACAATAACAAACATAGAATACAGAGTTAAACAAAGCTCATACCAATACCAACTTCATCCAGCCCGAAAAAAAATTTTTTTCAAGGAAGTGCGATGTGCATCATATTAACAACTGTGAAGAACATCTCTACGACGATGAGTCTTTAATTTTTATCTGGAAAAGCGAAAAAAGGTAATGGAGAATGAACGGAAGTTGGATAAATCTTTGCTGCTCTCTAAATGGTTCATTTCCAACCGTAATTAATATTTGTTTCACTTTTTAACCAGTGTGTTTCATGGATGGCAATGATGCGAAGACCAAATAGGTTTACTCGTGTTGTCATAGCTATTAGACTTTGTGATCGACGTTTTTTGTTATAAGATTCGATGGCGGGGGCGTTGAAAGAAACATCGCGGTAAAAGAAACATCGCTTGTCATAATGCTACAAAGTATGTATTGATAATTGTCATTTTGATGTGCACGAGCCTATATTTGACTTATTGACATGAGAATTCTGAAAGTGCTATGCTACTAGGCTGTTGAATCTAAACTAGATGGTCGCGATATTTCTTTGGTTTGGGCACTGACTTTGTTTTCTGAGCCGCTTATAAGGTGCCTCGAGAAAGGCAGTCCAGTTTTGGGCTTCGAGTCCACGTATTTGCTACTGTGATTTGGTCAATGCTGTCTGCAGTGAGCGTTGATATGTTGATGGTTGCGCTGCAAGCTTGGTATGCTTCAGTCGCCATTTTCTGTTGTGAGTGATCTTGTCCTTGGTGTGCTCACAATGGCTTTTCGGTTATCGACACTGTCACTTTTTGAGGAACTGATTTTGGACTGAGGGACTGATTTTGGAGTAGAGATGGGAGTATTGTCAAATGAACTGCTATTGGCTGCTGCTGATATATGTTCATCTCCGATAGTTTGGATTTTGATTGGACGGAGAGGGCGTATCTGTTTGCCCTCGATATTGTGTTTTTCTTTCCTCTCTGCTGTCGGATCTGGAAATGTAGTGACACGGAATAATAGGTAGAGGCCGCTGCTCTGCATTTTGGCCATTGTTGGACTATTCACCCATTTCAAGGCTTCTTTTTGGGTCATGAACCACGAAATGGGTTCCTCGTATCCGCCTTCCAATTGGACATTGTTGCTCCTCGTCGGTAGCGTCTCGTCTCCGCTCATTATTTTTTCCACAAGTTGCCCTGCCTCTAGGAGGTATCTGTTGTATGTTTTGAACTTTAAACGGCTGAATTGTTTCGAGCTCAGTGAATTTTGTTCGAGCTCATCACTTAGGTTGTCTGTACATCTAAACTCGTCCAAGTGCGGGAACTTCTGCGCATGTTTATTTGACTGTACATGACTCCAGACTCCGCTCTTAACGTCTAAGTGGTAGAATGGCAGCAGGTAAATTCCGAATTTGCATACAAATTCGACGGCATCAAGAATGAAGTCACTTTCCTGGTCTGAGCTGTAGAACGCCAAGCTGAACCGACAGAATCCAGGTTTGATGGAGTCGACTTTGGAAGTGTCTTGGTCGAACGCTTTCACGAATCTCTCTTCCACCTCCTCGTCCATTCCAGCAGGTCAATGGCGTAAGGTCCGGCACATGCACACCCACTTCGACACTGCAGACAAAAAAGATAGTTTAAAATTTGAGTTATGAAGTTGTGGTGCAAGTAGAGACCCGAGTGTTCGTGGAATACGAGGAACGAGAATACTGGCACTCGCTGTAGGAAGTAGCTTCCCAATAAATGAAAGCCTGGAATGTTTTTGAACTTCTCCATAGCTTTATTTACGAGGAACGTTTCGCGGTCTGCAACTACTGTTGAATCAATGGACTCTTTCACTTTGAAGACCAGTCCTGCGCGAATGCACTGCACGATTGGAGGTGTTCCACCTTCTTCTCTGGCTTCGATGTTGTCCAAGTATCTCTGTTCAATTCTCGGTACATAGAGCGCAGATCCACCACCGCGACTGTGTGGAACTTTGTTTTCGAACAAAGACTTGCGAGCAATCAGAATTCCTGGTGTCTGGGGACCTCTGAGGAATTTGTGAACGGAAATAAACACAGCGTCTTTGTATTTGCCTTCTCCCTTGACGTAAATTTTCTGGTGCGGTCCTCCTGTTGCATAATCCCACATGACAATTCCTCCGTGTTTGTGCATCAAAGTACCAACTCTGTGACAATCTGTCAACACCCCTGTGACGTTACTCGATTTGGCAAAGGATCCGATTTTCCTTCTCGGATCTGATTTGTATTTCTTCAAATAGTTTTCCAATTGATCTACGTCGAATTCGCCGAATTGATTGAAATTGATTCTGATGAGCTCAACGTGCTTGTTCTCTCGCCAGGGTAGAACATTACTGTGGTGTTCAAAAGGTCCAATGAACACAATGGCCGGATTGTTTTCGCTGATGTCAAGGACGTTTATCATTTTGTGCATTGCTGCAGTGCACCCACTTCCTGTGAAAATCACCACGTGTTCATCTTTTGGCGCGTTGCAGGACATTCGAATCGTGTCTCGCGCTTCTTCGCGAAGGATTGTCGTCTAGAGTCCGCAGAAAGATGACTGAGTGTGAGTGTTACCGGACCAGAGAAGCGCTTCAAATTGGATGTAGTCTTCAATGCAACGGAGTGATCGGCCTGACGCGGTGAAATCCGCGTACGTTATTTGTCGGGTGCCGAAGGGACTGTATGTCAGGGTAGTTGCACCGATCACGTTTCGTTCAAGGTAGTCCATGATGTCCAGTGGACTTTGAAGCTGCCTCAAGGATTTCATGCTGTTTCTTCTTAAGGACTTCTTTCTTTCTTTTTGCATCTCCTTTTTTATATCTCTTTTTATATCTCTTTTTTATATCTTTTTTTAGATCTTTTCTTTTAAGTTCATTATGTCCAGAGGGTTTTGAAGTAGCCTCAAGGAGTGCATGCTGTTTCTTCTTAAGGTGTTCATGCTTACTTTTTGTATCTCTTTTTTAAATATCATTTTTATATCTCTTTTTTCTAGATTTCTTTTTTATATCTCTTTTTTATATCTCTTTTTTAATATCTTTTTAAAAATATTTCATATCTCTTTGTTCGATTTTTTAGATCTCTTTTTCATATCTCTTTTTTTTAATCTCTTTTTCATATATTTTTTATATCCCTTTTTTACACCAGCATAGCTTGTGTTATAGAATGAGCTTTCTTTTTTTTTATCAACCCAAGTTGCAAATATTGTTGCGATGCAATTGTTGCGACAATGTGTTCATTTTGAAAGTGTTCATTTTGATCCAGCTATTAAGTACAGCCAATGCTAAGGAAAGGATATTAACACACACTATTATATTACAATTAGCACTTTAGCTTCAAAGTATCATGGTTCTGTAGCGTAGAGGTGGGGAAGGCGACCAGCAGCAAAATAAGAGGGTTCGAACCTGGGGAGGGTCGGATGTTTTTATTGAATGTTTCTGTATACTAGTTAAAATGCGTCCGCTCTATAAATTGAGGAATATTAGTTGGTAAATTTCTTTTCAAATTGACCGGTACTGCTAATGCGTCATAATTGGCTTGCGTCACTTAGCGATTATGTAGACTCATAATTGGCGTGCGTCACTTGAGACAGTTTGTAGACTCAAAGTTTTACTCATTCAGTTTTTCCCAGTAGCATTGTCGGTCATATTTTTGCTTGTGTTTGCGAAGTGCAACTTCGCTCCTGTGTTATATGTCTTTGGATCTCTGTTTTTTATCTCTTTTTTTAATATCTCTAGATCTTTTTTTAGATCTTTTTTTATATCTCCTTTTTATATCCCTTTTTTTATATCCTATTTTTCTGGTTTGTTTTTAAAGCTTATTTCATACTTATTTGTTAAATTGAAGAGAAATTACGCGCTTCAATCGCAAAGCTGCTTAATTCAAAATTAAGGCTCTTTTTCCTTTAACCCGCCTGATTGGTTTTGAATTTTTGATGCACGAAAAAGCTTGATTAGTTTTAGTGTCAAAGGAGAATTTAAGATTGAGAGTTTCCAGTAGAAAAAATTATTATCTTCTAAGGAAGTTTTTGTAAGCTGCTTTACTTCATCACAAAAATTTGTAAACCAAAGAAGATGCTTGATTTGCATAATTGTTGTTAGATGATGCAGTTTGTTTTATGGAACTAGAAAAAATCCAAAAAAATGTTGGTATCCTTGATTTCAGAAACAATTTTCCATTTGTCTGCTGGCTATATTTGAAAAGCGGAAATAATAGGAAAAGATGCTTTTAATTTATAGTCATGGGAAAATGAAATTACTCAATATATTTTTGCTTCAATAAGGGTGATTAACAACAATTACTTCAAAAAAATTTTGACAAATTTCTCGTACCCTCCCTTTCTCAAGCGAGCCTCAATTTCGTCGTAAATTAGCTTGAGAAGCAAGTCTCGGACCAGCTCATCTCGATACGGATTTATTTTCTGAAGTTCTTTTTCTTTGGCGCTTGCAACAGATCCAGATCAATTTTGTTAAGCTTCTTCAGTTGAATTTAAGCCAGAGTTTATAAACTAAAGATACATGTTTTCAAACTTGCAGTTTTGTTGACCATTTTGAGATAAACAAGTAAAACGTGTCAGATAAGAAATGGTCTTCGATCTTTCATTATTTGCCCTCAGCTATGCAAATCGATGATATTATAGAACAGTGCAGAGGGTTTCTGACCGATTCAGAACAAGATCATCTTTCTTACTCGTACCAGAAATGTAAAACCGGAATATTTAGCTCTGTCTTCGTTGTCAGTTTTAAACATTCAAGCGAAGGGGCGCAAAATCGCAGGTTTGTGTTTAAAACTAGAATCAGTAACGAAAGTTCTGAGGCTGAAACTCAGATTGTTTCTCTTAAGTTTCAGAAATATCTCTCGAGTTACGATTTAGCCCCGAAGATTTTACATTATGAATCATCGTCTGGGTTCGAAATCCAGGAGTTTTCAGGGAGTCCTTTACAAGTGGGTTTGTTTGATTGGAAACAAGTTGCAAGACTCGTTGCGAGTATCCACATAAAGTTGCAGAGTTTTGATGATCTGCAAAATTTACCTGAAAAGTGGATTTGTATGCAGTACCAACAGGAACGAGTGAAGAAGAATTTGAGTTATATTCAAAAAACTATCGAGACAAGTTTTGACGCACATGAAAGTTTTTTGTGGATTAACTCCGAGCTGAAGTTGCGTGGGGCTGTACATAAAGTTTGTCACAACGATTTTTATCCAAATAATATTCTCGTCGATGAGCGAAAATCTAATTACAAAATCATTGATTTTGACATGATTTCCATGCATTGGTGGGGCTACGATTTGGCCTCATTTTTGTACACTCAGTGTCGAGAAGATATTGGCGGTGGAAATGTAAGACTAACACTTTTGAAACTTCCCGGCAGAAAAAAACGCGAAAATTTCATTCGAGAGTACATAAAAGCTTCGAAGATTCAGAATTCTGATCCGATTTATTCGGATGCTCAATTTGTTACCATAGTCGATGTATTGGTATGCTATGGATGGTTGTTTTCAGCTGTTACCAGATTTGAGGCTTACATGCTGTGTAAAAACGAGGCGATGGTTGAAGAGATCAAAACAAGGCTGAAGTTTTTTAGAATTCTCCGAGCGAAGTTGATACTAGAACGTGAACTGATTGGGTTATATCTTGTTAAATTCAATCATCAATTTAAAACTGCAAGTGAACGATAATTCGTAGCTTCGAGTATGAGTTATATTTGAATAATATATATTTTTTAAAACTGGCGTTTTATTTGGGCGTAATGTAAAATTGATTTTGGGTCAAAATTTCACATTATTAATAGCCTTTGCTGAGTCGTTGACCAAATACATTTTCATTTCAGATTAAAGACATGTAGTTTTTAACATCAATTTTTTTTAAAAGTCTTAATAGAAAATAAACTTTTTATTTTTCATTTGAACTGCGTGTGTGCTTCTAATTTGTGCTGCTATTATGGAAGAGGATTTGGTGTACAGCGAAGGAGGGCCGGCGACAGCTGAGATGAAGATGCAAAGTCTTCCCCATGAGATCAGAAAACTAAGGGCATGTCTCCTCTGTTCACTCATTAAGACAGAAGACCAGTTTGAGTTAGACGGATGCGACAATTGTGATGATTTTCTACACATGCGAAGCAACTCGGAGAACGTGCATGACTTCACCAGTTCCAACTTCGAAGGCATGATTGCTCTCACGAGTCCTGAGGTGAGAGATTTATCCATGACAGTCATGTTGAATTCAGTCTATAATTCAGATGATGTGTTGTGCTACAGAGTAAATCAGCTCCGAATTTATGTTTGTTCAAGGCTAGTTGTTGATGCTCTTAATATACTGATTACCGGGTACTGATTATTGCAATCGGTTACTAGACTTTTTTCTCGTAAACAACTTGTCCACCGGACTCAATTCTAGACACCTTCACATCTTCGTCCTCTGCAAATCCTACTCCTCTCGGTTGCAAATATTAAGCATGGTTGAGTTGGTTATTTTAAATATCCGTTTCTTTTAAGGTATTCACGCGGCTTTGTTACCGCATGATAACATTTCTTTCGATGCTAGTTTCAAATTCTTTTATCTTGGCGCGTTATTGTTTCAAATATAGTCTTTTCGATAGATCTAGTTTGATTTCGCTATTTTTTACCCTTGTTGTAAGCAAGGGTATTGCAAACGGATACTAGAATTTTTCCCCCGTAAATAATTTTGTTTGCATAATGATAAATTTAGAACGAACTTAGAAATGGTAAGTTACCAATATACTCTCCAACTTACATGTCTCGTCGCTTATGCAGGGAATCGTGATTGCTTTGTAAATGGTACATCGAGCTTCTTGAAATGTGATGTTTTCTGAAAAATGTTTGCTTTATTTTCACCTTTCTAGATGGCGACCTTAATTATCGCGGTTTGTTACTTTTTAATTTTTTTTTTAGTTTCTTGTCATTTTTACCCTTGCGATAAGCAAGTGTAGTGCAATCGGGTACTAGACATTTTTTCACCGTAAACAACTTTGTTCGCAGGACTCATCAAATCCTGTTGGTACGTTGGCTCATAATATATTCAAATTTCTACTGTCTCCTGTACACTTAGCCCGGAGGTAACGAATACGCTTGGGGCAACAAATTTCCAGGGTTCGAATCTGACCAGAACCTATTTTTTTCAAACGGTAAATTTTCAGCTTCAAAACAATTTCGGTCTATTATTTGTCTGCTTCCGTTTTGTCGGCTTAGTTTCCAGATCTAAGAATCGTTTTTTTGCTGTAAGATTTTTCACTGTAGTTAGTTTAAGTATTTTAGCTTTATAAAATTCTGGCTGAATTGAAATTTTTAATTTGGTTGTAAATTTACCTACTCGATTCGTTAAAATTTCGTTTTTTTTTTGTCTTTTTTCGTCTTGTCTTTTTCGGTTTAATCGGTTTCGGCTTTTTAAAATTGACTTAGCCGCCTCTTGTTGCGTCGTTTGATGACCGAAAATGTTTTTGTGCACGAATGTGTTTTGAGGGAAAGGGAGATTCTACATTTTTTACAATATTCTTTAAGAATTTGTTCCGATCCTAATTTTGCATTCTTTTGTCTGGGCACGTGTTTCCAAAACTATTTTTATTCATTTTGATAGATCTAGTTGTTCGAATAGCGATAAAAACATCGATGTTACGCTTTAACATCGATATTATGATTTTTCGGTATTCGATTAAGCTCTCGGTTCAGTTTGCGAATTGTGTATAACACCTTGATTTCAGTACATGTATGGATTTTGTCGATTATTTTTGGGCTAAAAAATTTTGATTGATTATCAGCTAATTGGCTTGTCGGCTTTATTTCTGTCTGCTCATCTGCCGAATATCTTGTGTCCTACACATTTCAGATATTTTGTATGAGATTTTAAAGTCTTTGGCCCAGAAGTTAGGATTTTGAATGTTGAAATTTCACGCCACTGTAAATTGTAATCGAATCAAATTTTCCAATTAATTTAAGAAAGCCTAATTTTGGCTTAGTGGACACTCTTAAGAAACAACTAAAGAAACATTTGAATCATAAAAAAATTTGTTTGCAGATGAAGATTTATTCAAAAACTAACTCGCTAATTTTTGAGTGGCATGCTATATTATTCATATTGTTTTTGGTGAAGATAATTGAAATCAGGGGTCAACGCGCAATTTTCTTGATATAATATTTGATCAGTTTTTCGTCAACTGGTTTTTGTTCCGACCATTGAAAATGGGTAAGAATTTTGTATTCGGGTGTTTTTAAGTTTTTTCTTCTGTTTTCCTCTCAAAAATTAGGTTGCACGAACAATCATCGGATACATCATAATAAAGCCTTTACAGCCGAGTGCTGAGGAAAACCATTTTTAAATTTTCGTCTATTTTTGACCGAGTAAAGCGAGCGATAAGCCTTTTTTTATTTTTCTATCAAATCATTTATCATAAATTCATAAATAGTAATCGTATTGGGTGCAGTTATGTATCATACTAAATTGTTTTCTGCCCTAATTCGAGCGACAATGAAAAATTTTCAAAAAGTTGTCCCATTGTCGAGAAAAACCGGTTTGAGTTTTATTCTAATTTCGAACAAAAAAGCACGCGAGCATGCTTAGTTTAGAAAAATAAACCCTGAAACTCTATTTTAGGTCTAGTGAAAATAATTTTTGAAAATTTGTTAGCGCCGTCTTTGGAATAAAAGTTTTCCAAATTTCAAAAAAATAATAATGCAAAAAATAAGTGAAAAGAAATTAAAAGTTTTTTTTTGATTTTCGTGTTCTTTTTCTTTCCGTTTTTGACTGAAACGGTTGCCCGATTTGCCTATTTTTTATGATTGCCGAATATGCCTAATTTTTAGGTCTTTGTTAGATCCTTTTACTCGCCGCACAAAAAACATCACTTATTGGAAAAAATGCCTGGAAAAGCTTTTTTATGTGTTTGTTAAGTGTATGGTCGGGAAATTCTGTCCTACTTCCAAAGTAACTGGGTACCCTTGTTAATATTGGATTAAGCGCTCTGTTGCCGGTTTTAGCCAATAGAATCAGGTTTGTAAAGCTTTAATTGCCATTAGATCAGATAATATATGTCGAAAAAAAATGATAATCTTTGCTCATGATAAGGCTAGAAGTGTTAAATTTTAGTAGATTTTCTCAAAAAGCGTTCTCAAAAAACGGTTCTTTAAGTGAAGGAAAAAATAAATAAATGTTTCTTCTTCTGCATGGCTTTTGTTTCTACGTCGGTCCTTTCATGCTTATTTTCTTGCTATTGAGCTTTCTATTGCTTTTAATTTTTAACAAGTTTTTTTTATATTAGTTCAAAGGTATTGGCACCTTTTTTAAATGAAATATCACTAATTTTTCAAAAAATTCCAAAAGTTTATCTGTAAATTTATCTCTTGATTTTAAAAATCTGTTTTTCGCAGGATCGTGTTTTGGTTTAATTTTTTGGCTGAATTTCTTTAATACGCTCATTTTTGATACTTCATCTTCTTCAAGTTTTGGACAAAACCATATCCAAAATTTAATCGTTGCAGGTAATTATGTTCCATGATTGTATAATTCGCGTAAAAAGTTTTCTCGACTTAATTGGTTTAGGCGTGTTTAATCGATTTAGTTGCCCTATATTATGTCGTTCGAAAAATGAAACTAGGTTTAATTGCATTTGTGTGCTTCTGAGATTACTTAAATCTACGATTTTCAAAAAATTTTTTGTCTTATACTTCGTTAGACAAGTTTTTTTCCCTGACTTACGAGCACCTAACCAAGTTTCGTTGGCATAGTTACCGATCAGTGATTTTTGTCTTGCTGCTTAATTAATGATAGCATTCGTGCTCTGCGACAGGTTCTTATACAATTGAGTTTTTGAGACGTATGAAAATTTTGTAGTGGTTTATTGCGTTTTTCATTTTTTCTTTCGTGGCTTTCGGCTACCTCTGCTATTCTCTGTTATTTTGTATCGCAAGTGCAAGTAGTGCAAAGCTCCGTTTCGTCTCTAAGTTTAAGTTCAGATTGTTTTACTGAAAGGAAGGCAAACTCTTCTCTCCTAAAGCAAACTTCCAAATGGCGAAGAAAAAAAAACGTTCTTGGATTTTCGAAGTTTCGAAAGTGGATTTTGTTTGTTGGATTTTGCAGCCGATTAAAAAATACCTTGTGGTACATGTTTTTCAATTTGGTTTAGTTTTTACCAAAAAAAAAACATAAAAGCTTCGAGATCAGCAGTCTGATGTGTTTGCCTCCATAACTAACAGACTGAACTGATTGGAGAATAAAGCAATTATCAATTTCATTTCTGTTTATTCTTATCTTTATGCTTATGCTTAATAGTGTTCCCAAAGTTTCGTCGGCCTTTCATCTACGTGAATAAAATCGGATCTCTCCTCAATTTCTAAAAAGACAGCATTTTGACGAAAATATCCGCGCTGAAAATGTTAAAATAGGTTTATTCATAGTAATAGCATGATAGTTGGGTCCCTGAAAAAAAACCAGAAGTATGAAAGATTAGAGATATCTAAATTTTAAACCTAACTATCATAATTGTACCACGTTTAATAGTACCAAAGATAGTTCGACCATCCCCCACAAATTCGCAACCTTTGATTGGTATCAATTGATGAGAAGATGTCTCTAACGGTACTGACTACTCACGTTGTGTTATTGATGCTAAACCTTTCTGAATACGCTTCAACTTGTTTGATCCGATTAGCAAGTGCTATTCGCATTGTCCATGTTTAGGAGTCGTGGGTTGGTAAGTGGCAGAGGGTGGACAAGTGTGTTCAAGGCATGTATGCAATCTCGGTGTCAGGCACTCTGCCTCGCCACATCCAGCAGGAACTGAAGTCACACGGGATAGTCTACAGGTCAAGGGACACCAGTCACAAGTAGAAGAAAGATACATAAGCACGCACTCATACGCGAAACCCAAAAACCGGATGACTGGAAAGGAAAATGGTATTCGAATTGAATATAACATAAACTGCTACGTCCTGAGATGTACAAACTAATTTAATGGCTGATTTTATTGTGACATAGTTTTTATTTCTTTGAAAAAGTTACTGTACGTTTCACAAAAGTGATGTACGTTTCAAGTCAAATTTGAGCCATCTCGAGAAGGATGCATCTGAACATTTGATTGGCTGATCAATGCGAATTAGTATTCTTGTCGGTCGGTATTTCGTTTTTATAAGGTAACGTGTGTTTTTGGGGGAAAAGTCAAAGTTTTCGGATTAGTGATGTAATATATGTCTTTTTTGAGTGCTTCTTTGCTGCGCTATTGTACTCTTTTAAATAGTTCTCTACGATTGTTTCTGTTTTAATTTAATTTAAGTATTTGAGTATCGTTTTTGTTCCAGATCCAGTAGGTGGTCCATATTCATTCAGCATATAGCTTTAAGATACAAACAGTTGATCTTTTCCAATCTAATCCTCAAGCAAATTGTCTCCCCGTTTCATTAAAGCTATTGACAAGTTTATGACAAAGTAATTTAATACAAATATTGATATCACTTGCGAGTGGAAGTGACTTGTAATCGGGAACAAGAATTTTTCGCGTAAAAAACTTTTCTTACAAAGCTTTTTTTATCGAACCTCATCGATACTTGCTTTTCTATCGAACCTCAACAACTTCAAGGTCAATTCCCATTTGGTCTATTAATAAAGGTCTGAAGTGTGAATTTCGCTTTTTTTATAAGCATAAAATGAATTTTCTTGGAAAATTGAATTGTCGGACCGTCGTTTGTCTATTTATTTTTCGGCTTAATTTTTTCAGATACAAGCAATTTAAACTGTAATTGCGTCTTCGATCTAGCATGAGTTCTTAAATCGAAATATTTTTTTTTCAGCTTAACTTGTTTAACAACTTGTCTATTGATATCTTGATTGGATAAATTCAAGCTTGTGGGCTTCTCTTTCACTTGACCTAAAACCAACGACTACGCATGGGACAACAAATGTCCGCGGTTGGAATTCGGCTAGGACCAGTTTTGTTTGAAAACGCGAATTATTCAGTTTCAAAAACATTTTCATTCTATTGTATGTCTGATTATGTTTTTTCATTTTGGTTGCACATCACGGAATTTTTTGTACCTAGTGTAGTTTTTATGGTTGTTGCATTTGTTTCACTCGTGTAATTTCTGAACTTTGTAACCCTAGCTGTGTATAGTTCCCCTTTTTGTTATCGTTTTTCTCTCAACATTTTCTTACTTTATTCGATCTTAAAAGTTTCAGCTTTTATTTTGTCGGCGTAGTGTACCAATACTGCTTCGTTTGAAAGGAAACATTTTCACACCCCCTCCTCAATTTGAGAGCGCAAAAGTTTTTCATGACAAAAGTTTTTATCGGCTTAGTTGCCGATCGATAAATGTTTTAAATACTCATTTGCCGCCGGTGATTGCTGGACGTGTTTTCTTCAAATTGAACACCATTCAAGACAAAAATATGATTATTTTGTAATCGTTTTTTTTTTCAATATTTTTGCAATAGCTTGTTGCAGCTAAATTGCAATGCTAGGTTTATGCAGTATAACAAGTGAGGCAAAGCTCCGATCGGCTACTCTCTTGAAAGTTTTTCTGTTATTTGAAAATTTACCATCCCTGATTTTGAACATTTGAAGACGTTCCTTTTTTTTTTTTTTTTTTTTTTTCTTTTCGCTTAATTGATTTGTAGTCGACCCCAGTGTTTTCGACTAAGTGGGTGCTTGATAAGTGTGAATGCTTATTCAATACTGGTAATTGCGTATATCGTCTGTGTTTTCCTTAAACTGATTGTCAGTCGACGCAATCAAAAAACTTTTATAAATTTTTTCAACATACTTGTTTTCAATTAATTGTTTTAGTACTTTCCGTCTCATTTTCTTTTTTCTATCTTGAAATTCGATCTTTTGGTTGTATCGCTTCGCAAGTGTTGCGAACTCCGTATCGCCGATGCAGGAAAATTTCATGGTGTATTCGTGGATAATTAACATTTTTCCCTTAATCGAAATCGAATCTTAGCCGTTAATGCGAAACCGCGTGCAGATATTCTTCGATTTGTTTTCTATCAATCCGCAAGGTTATGGCTACCGTTTGAAACTTGTAAAAAAAATTCTGATATATTTGACACTGCTCATTTGGAGCCTTTAAAGTTTGAGTTGCATTATATTTCGTTGGAAATTTGTGAAGTGGATTATGGTTCAATTTTTGGATGGTTTTTTGTCGGTTCGAAGGTTCCGGTTTTTGGTGTATTCAATTTCTCCGGACAAAAAGGATAAAACCTGAAATTTAATACGCGTTTTTCTCAAATTGGGTGGAATTTAGACAAAAATTAATGCTCACAAAATTGCTTTGAATTTTATTAGAATGAATATGGTGCAACATTTGAATTCGTTTTCAACATTCTAATTTTCACAATAAAATGGGTCAGCATAATTTGAATTCAATTTTCAGTGTTAGTTTTGGGTTTTAAGATTAAAAAAAGTCAGTTTAAAAGGCATTTGTTTTGCTTAGCTTGAGTTGTTCTGTTTTTTTTTTAAATGAAAATCTAAAATGTTAAGCATTGAAGCATGATAATTCTGAACATTTTTTGATGATTTGGTTTTCCAGAAACCCATGGTTTTGCTTGGTTATGACAAAATTTTATGTTTATATAAAAACTTGAACGACATTTTAAATGTTGCTCAAAATTTTTTCTACAAAAACGCGTAGCAACAAAAACAAATGTTTCTGCATAGCAACAAAGCACAATTTAAACAGTGTTTTGTTTGCTTAGAATTGTAAGAAAGCATCGGCCTAATTTTTGTCTTTGTTTGGTAATTTTCCTCTTGCGTCTTCAATTAGTTGATTAGAACGCAGAGGAGACACTTATTTACCTTGAGTTTTTCAAGGAGTCTCGAAAAAAAGTTCACGTGCCAAATTGACTTTTGTCGGTTTTTCTTTCAATTTCTTGAAAAGTAATTAGCTTAACGTTGGGTAATTTATGCTCTCTAATTACCCTTGTCATAAGCAAGGGTGTTGCAACCGGGTACTAGACTTTTTTCCTGTTAACAACTTTGTTAACAAGGCTTAGCCGCTCGTTAAAGCTACACATGTTTCAAATTGTTGCATGATAATTTCAAATCAATCGGCTATCAGGCGCATCTGACGTAGAGTTAACTCACCGGCTTGAGACGAGAAAGGCTTGTGATTCGAATCTTGCCGGGACTTGTTTTTTTTTTGCAAACAAGAAATTTTATACTTTTTCGACCGTCTGTTTTTTTTAATCGGCTTAGTTTCCGAATGCCAGTTTCTGAATAACTTCTGAAAACCAATTCTGAACCCCATTGGTAGAGGCAATTGAGTTTTAAGTCACTGCTGAAATTAAGATTTTTTTATGAAAAAATTTTAATGAAAATTGAAAAAAAAAAAAAATTTTAAAAATTTTTTCTCCGTTTGTTAATTTGCTCGGTATTAATATGCATGCGACTAGCAGGCGTTATCAGTTTGGAGCGTAGACTTTTTCTTCTAATCCAGTAGTTTGTTTTACACGTTGTTCAACGTATTATTTTTGCATGTTTAAGCTATATCGTATATTGCAATGGTTAAGAATTTTTTTTTCGTTTTTTCAATTTGATTTTAGTGGTTAATTTACCGAGTTTAAATTGAGAAGCCCAATATCAAATTAGAGGTTGCGAATTTGGCCTCCAATTTTGAATGTCCGAATCATTTTATTTAATGAAATGAGACGATTTGAGATTTTTTAAAATAATTTTCAGAAAATTTAAATTACGATTATTATTTTAAAATCTGAACTTCCCAATCCTGTAGTTGAGTACTGTCAGAGTACTCTCAAAGATTGTGAATCTTGCCTAGAAATATGACTGCTCAATTTTTTGTAGTTTTCCAGATATGAAGTTTTTTGTGATTTTTTTTTTTTTTTAAAAATTCACAAATTTCAAAAATCACAACCCTGTATCATTGAGCTACATCCAACAATCTTAGGAGCTGACAACTTTTATGATCATACAAATTAAATTTAGCAAATATTATCACAACAAAACATTGTTTTCGCAGCACTTTTCGTTCTTACCTATCTATACTATATTTAAATGCGATTGACAGCTATCTCCCATGTTAAAGCATAACATTTTTGCATATCTAACGAAAGAATTTTTTCATGTTTCAGCTATATCATATATTGCAAAAGCTTAACAAAATTTTTCAATTAATTTTTCGCAAGGTCATCAATTTTTCAGTATTATTTTTCGAGGCCAAACTAAGTCTGTCTACCTGCTTTTTTAATTAATTTGATTGTCTGTCTACCCATCGCCTAATTTTTTGACTTTCATCTATTATCTATCTATTATCTTTTTTTACATATTTAAATGCGGGCTTCACTATCTCGCGAAGCTTAAGCTTTTTCAATGTATAATGTTTGCGTGTTTAACAAATGATTTTTTTCAAGTTTAAGCTATATCGTATATTGCAATGGTTAAGGTTTTTTTTTTCGATTTTCCAGTTTGATTTCAGTGTTTTTTTTCATCAAGTTTGAAAGTAGCTACGCAATAGTAGGATATTGTCAGAGTTTTCCCAGGTTTTGTGATTCTGGCCTCCATATATGAATAACCAAATTCTTTTTGGTTAAACGAGATAGGCAATTTTCGAGGTTTCTCAAAAAATTTCTAGAAAATTTAAATTGAAAAAATTTCTCAACTTTTGAAATTTTCACCCTGTAGTTGTGTGCTGTCAGGGTACTCTCAGGGGTTGCGAGTCTTGCCTCCAATTCTCACTTCTCAAATCCTTGTAGTTTTCGAGATATGACGTTTTTTGTGATTTTTTCAAAAAATTTCAGAAAACTCAAATAACTATGATTTTTTTTTAAATCTGAAATTCCCAGCCCTGCAATTAGGTCCTTTCAAAGTACTCTCAAAAACTGCAAATCGTGCCTCCAAATATGACTGCTCAATTCTTTGTAGTTTTCGAGATGTGATGTTTTTTGTGATTTTTTTCAAATTTTTCGGAAAATTTAAATTATTTTTTTTCGAAATTTGAAATTCCCAACGCTATAGTTCGTTGTTGTCAGGGTGCTCTAAAGAGTTGCAAATCTTGCCACATGCGACTGCTAAACGCAACTGCTCAAATGCTTTGAGTTTCCGAGATGTGACATTATTTGATTTTTTCAAAAGTTCTCAAAGATCAAAGTAATACAAAAAAATTTGAAACTACTAAGTTGATGAAGATACAACCTTTTTGTCAGCGTACAACCAGGCGCATCAAACCTTTCATCTTAATATGAATGCTCAAATCAGTTTAATTTCCGAGATAAGACGTTTTTTTTCTAATTTTTTTTTTGGGAAACTTAGGTTTAAAAAAATACCTAAAATT